TTGATTGATTTAATGCTCTGTGACTAGATTAGGCCTGATCTTTTATGCATGAGTTTGATAATGTTGATTCGAGATTCGACAGATGAGAATTGATGTTTAGGTCTAGTTTCAATAGGCAGATTAATTTATAAATGGTTAAGTCGAGATTCGAGAGATGAGATTTAATACAGATAGATTAATTCTGTGATTGTAATACATAGAGAAAGCCCTTTACGATCTGGTTAATTGATACATTAATGATTGACTATTATTGATTTTTGATATTGCATGATAATTTCTTATTAAATTGTTTTAACGCTTTACAATTATGGCTTGTAAAAGTATAGCAATATTGAATTGATGAATCGAGCAGATGTTAATTTGATATTAAAGGCTATTTTCAATAAGAACTTAGATCTAGTAAATTGCGAGAGCCAGTTAGATCTATGTTGATTAATAAATTGCGAGAGCCTGTTAATCATGTTATTTATGAAATGTCAATGATTGATTATTATGTTTTACCCTGGAGTATTATTTATTGGTGAACCTATGCCCTAGATCCTTTTATATATTGTTTTCTCCCTATTCTCAATCTTCGTAGTTTAGTTTATTATTCAAATATAAATATTGGTTACTTCATGGTCTAGCTTATATTAGTTAATTAGGAATAGAAAGACTTGTTTCCCTGTGGAGTTCGACCCTACTTCCTTATCTACTTTAGTTAGAGGACTTAGGTATTTACTTTTGATTAGGGGATACGACTTTACCCTGTCACTTAACATGAGTCAATTTTGCCCAACTACTTGTGAATATAATGCTTGACTAGTTGATTTGGTTAGGAATGTGTGATAGTTCATGGTATGTCAATGAATTTGAGTATTGATTTGCAACTATAAGTAATGTTTGTAAGACTCATTATTATGCACATTGTGGAGGACGAAGGCATTTGTTCTTTTAGGTAGCCTCCAGATGATATTAGATACATTTGTTCCCTTCTTGCTACCCATGTTGTTGCCTTTACTATTTATTGTTTATTAGCCATATTACAAGTCGATTTTCCCTATTGGTTACTAGTTCCGAGATTGGCTTGGGGAGCTTTTAGTGGGTGAGGTGAGGGAGTTTGTAGTGTGCTTATTATTTGCACAATTTGGGTGGGTTTTGAGAAGCTATTTTGTTCTTGATCATGTTTATTTTTGATGAGTTCGAAAGTTATATTTTCTTGAAAAAATAAAGTATGATGTTATGAAAAAAGAAGTTCAAGAAAAAAAAAAAGAGAAAAATAAGTGGACTTCAAGAAAAGAAAAAAATTGTTCAATGTTCAAATTTTCTAATTGGAGGTTGATCAAAAGAAAGAAAAAATAATTGAGCTTCAATGAAAAATTCAAGTTTGGAAAATAAAGTTTGTTATTCACTCCAGTTCTTCATTATTATATCTTATGAGTGAAATTGTAAGAGTTGGGATTGTTTATATTGTTTGGAGTTGTATTTGGTGGATTATTAATCGGGGTTGAGTTGTGTAGGAGATGTTAATCATCATTTATTTTGATCATGGGTTTTATTAGGATTTGCTCCCTTACGCATAGCTTTTCTCTCACTTATTCCCAAATGATTACCCTTTACCCTAGCCTTACATTACAAGCTTTAAAGACCTTCCGACCTTTAGTGTTGTTTATCAATGCAAGTTATGATTTGACATATTTCGAGTCGACTAGTAGGTTGAGTGTACATCTTTTTACACACACGAGAGTGTGAGTTGGGAGGGCATTGTTCACATAAAGGTGTTGGTTGGAGAGCGATCGAGTACATCTTTTACTCGCCACATAAATGAGAGTTGAGTGTGTGAGCACTAGTCTTGAATTCTATATGCTCTTGTGGTTTGCTCTATTTGACAATTGTTAGGGAGGAAGGGTAATTGGACGGATTTGATTAGTTGGTTTTGAAGCATGTTTATTGGATTTACCTTGAATTGTTTGTGCTTGATTTTTACTTTTTGGGGTGAAGCATATTTATTTATTCATTGATGAGATCTTTGCTTAGGGACAAGCAAAGGTTTGGCTTGGGGGAGTTTGATATGTCTATTTTATATAGTATTTTACCCCGTCCCTTGGTCATAATTAATAGTGTTTTGGCTCTTTAGAGCCACTTTTATTACTAATTGGTGTTTTCTAGTGTTTTCGTAGATTTGGTTGACTTTTGTAGGGATTTGCACTTTTGGAGCATTTTCCCGAGATATTATGGAGCAATTACAAGCATTGGAGAAGCATAACTAGTTTCTATAGCCCAGGGCCGGTTAGAGTCATCGAACCGGTGATTAAGGGCTCGGTATATGTGATATCGGGGCATTTGGACCGAGTATTCAAGACCCGAAGAGGAAACCCGGATTGGCCCGAAGAATTGAAGCCCAATCGAAGTCCAAATAGTTGCCCAAGAGTGCCGCCTGGCCAAAGAAGCTAGCATCCGAAGGCGCGCCCGGCCGGGCGAGGGAACTAGGGAAGTAACTCGACGCCCGAACTCGCGCCCGGCTGGGCGCGAGATTTGTACCTGATGGAAAAAGGCGCGCCCGATCGGGCACGTGTTATTATTAGGAGACGATTATCGTCGTTTAAGTTTGTTTTAGTTTAGGATTCTTGCTTAATATAAATACTTTTCCGTTAAGCGAGTTTAGTATTTTCTCTTACACTTTCTTAATTCCTTCTTGGATTTTCTCTCTCTACTTAGCTTTTAGATTAATTTCTCTCCCTCATATACTTTGTTCTTGACTTTATTCTTAATTCCATATTTCTTTGGTAACGATTTCTCTTCTCTTAATCTTAGTTATTTACTATATTATATTCCTTTGATCATGTCTTGTTTTATCGCTTTGATTAGTTTAGTTTTAATTATGTGTGAGTAGTTTTATTTCTAGGGTTTATGAGGATCCATAAATAATATGAAGGGGTAATTTATTGTTGTTAATTGTCAATGCTAGATTAATTTCCTATTGATTGATTTAATTCTCCGTGACTAGATTTGCGCAGATCTTTTATGCATGAGTTTGACAATATTGATTTAAGATTCGAGAGATGAGAATTAATGTTTAGGTCTTGTTTCAATAGGCAGGTTAATTTATAAATGGTTAAGTCGAGATTCGAGAGATGAGATTTAATACCGGTAAATTAATTGTGCGATTGTAATACGTAGCGAAAGCCCTTTATGATCTGATTAATGTATGCATTGATGATTGATTATTATGTTTTACCCTAGAATATTATTTATTGGTGAACCTATGCCCTAGATCTTTTATTCATTGTTTTCTCCTTATTCATTATCTTTGTATTTTAGTTTCCGTTAATTATAATATATTGGTTCTTTTATAATCTAGATTACTTTAATTAATTAGGAAGAAAGACTCGTTTCTCTGTGGATTCGACCCTACTTCCCTATGTACATTAGTTAGAGGATTTAGGAATTACTTTTGATTAGGTGATACGACTTTAACCTGTCAATAAGCACCAAAATTAGAAGGAAAAATAAAGGAGATATATGGAAGAATTTGGGAGATACATGGTGACACGTGCATTAGTTCGAAAGGTGGTAATATTAGTACCAAAAAAATTAAAATAAAAAAAAAGACAACAATTAAGGTTGGTAACATGAGTGCCAACAAACAGACAAGAAGAAGAGTCAAGATTAGAGGTTGCCGGTGACAAGAAGACGAAACAACATCAGTGGCCGTTGGCAATAAGAGCATGAACAAAAATTGAAAGAATAGTTTGTGAAGACGCATAGTTTAGAGTATAAGATTTTATAGATTAAGGGGGAGTGTTAAAAAGAGTGATCTAGAAAAATCTAGGAAATGATGTAATAAAATCTAAGAGTAAAATATCCTAGAAAGTTTAGATTAATAATCTATCATAACATATTAGAACAATATAGAGTAGTGTGAAAAATTCACCTAATTCGTTTAATTAACTGATATATACTACAAGCCTACTATAAATATACTATGCATGTATTTGCAAGGGTAGAGCACTAGGAAAGAAACCCACTCCCGTGCATTTGTAAAACCATTTTATCATCCAATCAAATCATCACATTATATTTCTTTGTCTCCCAAGTCTAAACCCATTTAATAATCAACGAAACCCACAACACTTTCGCACACCTAATTTCTAACAGTATCCACACAATGAACAACACGTTGTATCGTCACTTATATTTGTTACCCGTGCCTCGTATCCACAAAATGAAGAGCGTGTTTCCGTGTATACGCTAGACTATATAGATGCGAGACCGTGTAAACAGGTTATACATAAAATGGCATTTTAAAGTGGATAGTGTTCGTGTAGTACCTTAATTTTTAAACCAATTTAATTATTATTAATTATAATTATTAAGCTTAAGTATGTCTTATTTCGGATCTTATAAACCTGTTTATAAAATGGACAAATAATTTTCCCATATGCTTATAAAATATTTTATTAAGATATGAGATTAATAAATTATTATTTTTCCTACATATATATATATATATATATATATATATATATATATATATATATATATTACAACTTTCAAGTGGATTTTTAAGAAGAAAATTGTATATAATTTCCTAAACTCTAGTTATAAAGTTATTATTTTTATATGAGTCTTATTTCATGTACATAGTTTTAGGTAATTCCTATTCACTACACCCCACTTTAGCTAGTAATACCTACTCCCCCCCAACAAATTACCAAAAAACCCTTACCCCTACTAACAACACCAAACTAACCACACCCCAATAACCATGGTAAACCCACTAACCACACTACATGTAGTTACTGTGCAGTTACCCCCATATACCACGGTAACTGCAAGTTACCACACACTCATCCACTCATATATATACAAATTAAAAAAAATTCAAAAATTGATCAGTTTCTTCATAAGCAATTTCTCTCTCCATTTTCTCTCTCCATTTTCTCTGCATTCGCAATCCACTGAAGCAATTTCAAAAACTGATTTCTGCAAATTTGTTACAATCTCATCAAAAATGAGTAATGTACAAGAAGAACATGCATTACAAAAAAAAATCCACTGAAGCTTCAGAATCGTAAGTACTTTGAGCAATTTTTGGAAATTAAACCCTAATTTTTTGAAATTTTGTTCAATCGCAATTTAATTTGTTTAATTTCTTTTGTAGAATACAAAACGAAGATCCAAAGGACAACAAAGAAGATACTGATGCTTTGTAAGTAAATAATTTTAAGAATTAAACACTTAATTTTTAAAAAATTTGTTCAAAAACAAGTAAGAAAAGTTTTAATTTGTGTAATTGTTTTTTGCAGACTACAGAAGGAGAACGAGGTTCCAGAAAATAAAGATGTTGCAGTTTTGTAAGTATTCCTTACTTAATTTTGAAATTTTAAAGTTATTTATCATGCATTTTGTTAAACTTTTGAAGTTATTTATAATGCATTTTAATTAAATTTGTAAATTGAAAAAATTAAAAATAAAAATATGCAAACAGAGATGAAACAAAGCGCCAACCTGTATCTCCTTTGGTTGATCCTGAACTTTTAAAAGACATAATAATGTCCAGTTGTCCTGCTGAAAAAGAAATTTCTCCAATTCCAAGGTATATTGATCAATTATGAATTACTAAATGTTCAAATACATGTGTGAAGTTGTACATTTTGACTGTTGTTTTTTAATTACATTATTATACAGGTTTAAACTTGTACAGTTATACATATATAAAAGTTCATTTTACTATGAACTTATGAAAATTTACATATTTGTTTATGATCACATATATATATTTGTTCATTTTATTGTAACCTAATGAAGAAGTATATTAACATGATCCTTTTTTCTATAAATATGCAAATCATTTTCATTAAGAATAATGAACATTTATATTTGATAAAATGATCAATTACAGTTTATGTTACAAAACTTAATAGAATGCATGCAAACTGATAAATTGATGGTAACTTTTGATATTGTAGTGTTGAACCTTGTAAAGTGAAACACATGATGAAATTTAGAGATGGAAATTCTGAACCTAAAATTGAACAAGAGATTATACCATCAATTATTTCCAATGAAAAAAAAGAAGACCATAGTAGTTGGTGGGAACCATATTTTGAAAGAAACATGTTAGACCCCAAGTAAGTTAATGTATATGTAATTTATTTATTTATATCAATAATTATATACATGTCAGTTTTCTAAAATAATTCTTAAAATTCTAGTGAAAAAAAAAATCAAGGTAACTTTTATAATGTCAAAATCAAGGCCAGAGACAAATCAACCAATAAGGTATTAAATTTTAATAGTATTTTCAGAATTTAACAAGTAAAATATAACTATTGTTCTCAATAAATTTCCTATTACAACCTAGTTTAATTTTAACAATTGAATTTTAAAACAATGTAGAGAAACAAATGCGGAGGAGTCAACTGCTGCTGATAAGTCACAGAAAAGGTAAATGTTCATTATCAACTTATTAAATAATCAATTACATAAATACAAATGATAGATTTTATATTATTATAATTTTTTGACTTTCAGTGTTTAGGAGAAGAAAGAAGCAACTACTAGTACTCAAAATGTAGAAAATCCCATAAACAAGGAGTAAGTATGCATAGAGGAACAAATGTTCATTATCACTATATAATATAATCATTTTTAATTTTATTTATATTGACATATATGTAAAACCTAATTTCAGAGATTCATCAGTTAATGTACACAGCACTACTGAAGCAGAACAAAAAAGAATCCAGAGGTATACAATCTACAACATCATAATCATCTTTTTCAATTTTTATGCTGTTGAATTCTAATGTTTGTGATATTATTTGAAAATAATACAGCGAAAAACAGTGCAACATAGTGCAAGAAAAAATCCAAAGTTTGCAAAACAACTCAGAAAATTCTTCAAAAGCTTCAAAAGAAGAATCTGATGTTTAAAACAACAAAAAAGAAAAATGAAAAGTTTGATGATGTAAAGAAATCAGTTGAGGAAGGTAAACATGTAATAATATTTATTTATAATTTGTAGAATATTTTATATGAATACCATATAATTATATATATATTTTCTGAAATAGTAGAGGGAAAGAAAGAAAAACCTCAACATAAGGAGAAGCTAGAAAAACAGGGAGCTGCAGCAAAACAAGATATTCAAGGTAAAATGTTCATATATAGAAAGTAAAATGAACATTGTTTATGCGATTATTTATTTGTCTACGTTTAATATATGATCATGTTAATATATTGTAGGTGATGCAACAACAAAAAATATTGTGACTGAAAAAGAAAAAATCCATGAAGAGGAAAAAGACAATCCAAAGAACAAAATTGAAAATACTCAAGGTAAAATGCTTTTCTTTATTATATAAATTGATCAATAGTATCACATAAAATGAACATGTTATCTGCTTTAATATAAATGTTCATTTTATGTTATGTTTGTGATCATTTGACTTAAGTACAAAACTACATGCTAAAATAAATGCAGCAAACAAATCATTGAATGTGATCTCTATCGAGGATGAGACTCACCTGATTAATCAAGAAGATAAATCAGATAATCTTGAGGATAGTGCTTCAATTGATCCTAGTGAAGGGTCACAAAGACAAAAAAGAATTTTAAAATGGTTGCAAGAAGGGGAGGAAAAAAAATAGCCCTTTAGTAGAAGAGCTGTCAATTGGAAGGGTTACAAGAAGCAAAGATAAAGGTATATATTTTATATAATATTCTATACATAATAAGTTTTACAAATGTCATTAACTAATTGTCATTATATAAATGTTACAAAAGTTCAATCTCAAGCTTCACAATCAGAACCTGCTGTCAAGAAGCTTCACCAAAACAAAAAAAGACAGCTGCTTTTACTGAAGCAAAACAATCTGGAACTCCTGAAAAAGATCAGAAAAAAGGGCAAGCAAAAGATGTTAGTCCCATTAAGAAGATGTCAGGTGCACCAGCTGAAAAAATAGTTTAAAAAGGTAAAAAAAAAAAAAAATCATTTTTACTAGTGTAAAAAATTAAAGAACATAATACTTTTTGAAAATGGACATTTATGTTTACAAAAATGATCTATATGATATTTTATAGAGGAGGGAAAAGGACTACTGCTGCAGATATTAGCCCTATTCAAAAGGAACCAAGTGCTCCTGCTGAAAACCTGTTCAATCAGGAAAGAAGAGACCAGCTCCCACACCAGCAGGAGGAACAAAAAAAATTGCTAAAAAATCTGGTATAATCATGCTATTTATTTATGTTCATTTTTAAAAAACTTAATGATCATACATAGTAAAATGATCATGTATGTTATTTTTATATAGAAGGGAAAAGGACAACTACTTTAGATATTATTCCTATTCAAAAGGCACCAAGTGCTCCTGCTAAAAAACCTGTTCAATCAGGTTAGAAGAGATTTGCTCCCACACCAGCAGGAGGGGCTAAAAAATCTGGTATAATCATACTCTTTCTAAATGTTCATTTTAAAAAACTTAATGATCATTTATAGTAAAATTTATATTTATTTATATACAGAAACATTTATATTTAATTAATTAATGTTCATTTTCAATAAATCAAATTTTCATACTTAATGACTTATATATTCATTTTCAGTTGTTAGCCCTGCCAAGAAGAATGCTGGGAAAAGGAGAAAAATAGATGAAGTTCCATCTGATGAACCATCTGAGGATCCTTCTGATGAAGATTCCACTGATAGTGGTGATGACAGTGAAGATTCTGCCTACAGAGCTGAATCAGAGCTTATTGATGATGCATATGATAAAGATGATGAATTAGAGGACGAGGAGGAAGTTGAAGAAAACCAAAGAAGAAAAATCCAATGAAGAAGGAACAAAAGAAAGTGAAGGCTGAGAAGGTAGAGCAGAAGTTAGTGGTGTATAATAAAGAAAAGAATGAAGGAAGAGGGAGAAAAAATATAAAAACAAAAATGGTTGTGGTAGGGGAAACAGATGAAGTTGAGGAAATTCAAGAGGAGGAGTTTGAGGAAGAGAAATCTTCTAAAAGAGGAGGACATGTCAAATTCATTGCATGGATAGATAAGATGACAGATACACAAAAACAAGAAGTTGTTGACATAGGGTTAGGATCACTTCTTAAGATCAATTTACCACAACTTGATCAGAAGTTCTGTAATTGGGTATTGGATAGTTTTGAGGAGAATAGTCAGAATTTTGAACTGCAAAAGAATGAAAAAATTCAAGTTGAGGTAGAGGATGTGAGGGTTGTTTATGGCTTGCCTACAGGAGAAATTACAATTGTTGAGGCAAAGTTTGATAAAGCTAGTGAGGAATATGCAGAATTTCTGAAGAAATGGAGAAAGTCATGGTCAGGAAAAACTCCATCAGTGAGTCAGGTATAATCTTTTATTTTCTGTAATAATGTTCATTTTGTATACATTTAATGATCATTAATTTTAAATGTCTTGTTCATTTATTTTACAGATTGTGAATGGTTACATACATGATAAATTCAAGAACAACAGACCACCAAGTGAACATTTCATAACCAATTTTTTGGCAGTTGTTGTGAACTGCATGATGAAGTGCATATCAAACAATCAATGTCACTTCAAGTTTCTTTTTTCAATGATGGACAAAGAAAAAATAAGAAATTTGAATTGGTGTCAGTATGTGTTTGATTCACTAATCAAAAGTCATGTTGATTGGAGAAAGCAGAAAGGAAAGGGGTTCTACAAAGGCCCTTTGCAATTTTTGATGGTAATATATGGTTTTATACAATGTTCATTTATATTGTGAAACATGATCATTCCTTTAATTATTAATGTTCATTTGTAATTTGAATAATGTTCATTTTCTGTTTTTCCTTGTAGCTGTTTTATTTTGATAGGGTTCAAAGGTTAGACAAAAGTCCTCCAAGAACATTCCCCATTATATCTGTTTAGAATAGAGACATGGTTCTTGAGAGGTTGAAAATAGAGTATGAACTGGGGTTTGGTAGAGGTAAAATCTTACCTAGAATTGTTGTTCAAGTGGAAGAAAGTCCAGAGGTAAAAAAAAATGATCAGTTATAATGACATAAATGTTCAGTTTATTTATAATAAAATTATTTTGGTAAAGGCTTACAATTTGATTTACAATACAGGTTTTCATGAATGACTTTGTTAGCCTAGTGAAAGAGACAAGTACAAACTTTTCAAGACTTTCTGGAAAATTGATGAAGGCAAAGGAAATATTTCCAGAAAATCAATTGGTTAGAAAGGTTGATGAAGTTTTAGGAAGAATGGCTACAAGGGAGCAATAAACTCTAAGTCAAGATGAAGAGTTCTATGAATCAGAGGAGTTCCTAAATGCAATTGCTCAAATTGAAAAAGATCTCATGGAAGCAGCTGATTTGAACAAAACTACAAACTGGAAGGAGAATTATGATGTACGAAAAGCATTCACTTTACATTTAACTCCACCATCTCCAGCCATTGGTAAGTATAAACTAAATTAATTTTTAAGCATCATGATATCACTTTTATTTAAAAATTTTGATTATTAAAAATTTGTTGAAAATAGGTACAGGTTCTACATCTACAACAAAGGCATTGATTATTGAACCCCCCAATTCAAACATCTACTTCAGCATCAATTGGAAAAGCTAATGAAAAAACATCTATTCCAGGTTCAATATGTTTATAATTAATAGCCATAATGTTCTTTTTAAAATTCCAACTATACTTCCCTTCAAAAAAAAATCCAACTATACTTTATCAAAATTGTTTATTTTCAATATTTTAATATGTAAAAATAAATTGATATTTTTTACAGAAGAAAAAAAAGTAGCCTCTGCTACAAAAGAAGCTGAAAAGACGGTTGAAGAAAGTTCAGCTCCAGGTAAAAGATGTTCATATATAAAAAGTTTAATGATCATTTACAAATATATTTCATCACAATTGTTCATTTTCAATATTTTAATTTCTAACATAAATTAAACCATTTTACAGGAGAGAAAAGTGTAGGCTCTGCTACAAAAGCATCTCAAAAGGTTGTTGAAGAAAGTTCAGCCTCAGGTAAAAGATGTTAATATATAATAAATATAATGATCATTTACAAATACTTATCTGTATTTTCAGTGAAACCAAACAAAATAGTAAATTGTTCATTTCTAACAAAAAAAATGTTTATTTTTTAGGTGATCCACAGAAGGGTTATTCTACAGCACCTTCTCATGGTGACTTAGAATTGAGCACAGGAGAAAAGAATGAAGAATATGAAAAAGACGAACAAGGAGGACAGGGGTAATATGAATACCTCACCAAAAACTTCAAGATGTATTCAGTGACAATGTATCTTTAAAATAATTTAAATATGTAATTAGTAAGACTAGTCTTTTATTTTACTAGGAAAAAGTACTATTTATTTTTCTAAGAACAATTTGTGTTATGGTAATTTATTTTGCTAGGAAAAATTAGTATTATGTGTTGTATTATAAATTCCAATATAAAAATGTTTAGAAATGATGGTTATATTCAAAAGTTATTGAAAATGAACATATGATAATGTATGATTGTTCATTTCTATACCTACTAACTACCTTTGATGTTTCAGTGAAAACAAGGAAAAAGATTCATCAGCAAAACTCATGAACAGGTAAACAATTATAAAAAGTAATGAACATTTACATATAAGTAAATATTCATTTGTTCTCAATGTTAAATAATAATGAACATTTTTTTATAACTAAATGTTCATTTGTGTTGTTTAATATGATCAGGAATGATGAAAAGAAAATCTCAATTGCAGAAAAGAGTAAAAAGACTGGAAAGGAGAAAGTTGAAAGGTATATTTATAATTTATTTATATACATTTAAATGTTCATTTAATGTTCTTAATATAACTCTACTACATTTATTGAACGTCAAGACCACAACGTGAAAAGCAAACAATTCCTCTTGTTTTCCGATCTCCGTACATGATCAAGTACAAAGATCTATTAAAAGATGAGAAGACAATGAACCAAATTGCAGTAGACTTTGCTCTCAGTGATAAAGATGAAAGGTAATTACTTAAACAAACTTAATTAAAGTGAAATATATTATCTTAAAATATGTTCACATCTATATTACTAAATGTTCATATTGCAGTGTTCTTTTATACTATGATGGGTTGAATCTCATCAATAGAAAAGAAATGAAAACACTTGGAGATGATGTTGAAGTAACAAATTGTGTGATAGATGGATGGGCAACAATTCTTAATCATAAAAAGCCAAAAAGCAAGATTTACTTCTCCACAATGCTTCATGTTAGTTTTACTTCTTTTTTTTTTATAGTAAAAGAGTTGTTATGTTGTTATAATTGCTAGATTTTCTTTAATTTTGTATATGATTGTTTCTATTTCAACAACACATTATGTGTACAAATAGAGTTTGTCAGGAAGGCTCATCCATGAAAACAAGAATTGATAATTTCATTGAAAGAATTGACAATGAGTTGAAGATGAATAAGATTGATAGCATTGTTAGATACAAAAAGGTATTGCCATGAAATTCATAATAAAAATGTTCAATTATGATTAGTAAAATGATAAATAATAATTAAATATTTGTTCAGGTCTTCTTCCCAGTATCAACTTCTCAACATTTTTTTCTCTTGTGCATCAATCATATAGAAGAGAAAATTCATATTATTGACAATAGGAAACTACCACAACATGTCACAATCCAAGCAAAGTATGAAGATCAACCAAAAATGTTGGTGAGTAACTATGTTCATTTCTATTTGGCTAAATGATCATTTTTAAGTTCCTAATTGTTCAAGCATTCTACACATAACCAACTTCTAATTAAGTTTTACAATTGCTTTTGTCAGTTGAAAGGATTGGCAGGACACATGAAACACCTTGGATATGAAGATGCTGATAGAATTGAAGAATACAAAATTGTTTTGGAAAAGATGAAATGGCGTAGCAACGATGATTATACAAACTGTGGAGTATACATTATGAAGCACATGGAAACCTTCACTGGTGATCCTAATGAGAAATGGGTTTGTGATTTAAAAGCAAACAATGTAAGTATCATAAATGTTCAATTATAAAATACATAATGTTCATTTAAAAAATGTACAAAAAATAAACATTATAATTCACTTTGTTCAACAGGTGAACAAGATTAGGAAGCTAAGGATTCAATATGTAGCAGAGCTGATGCTATTTGAAGAAAACACTGAAGCAAGGATAAATAGAAGAAAAGCACGAAAGTTTGCAAAGGAGTAATGTCATCACATGTTCATTTATGAATATAAATATGATCAATTTATATACATAGACATATAGATTTTATGTTTTTCATAGAGTATTTTATATAATGTTTCTTATAGTTATTTGAATATTAACAATATTACTTTCTTTTTTAGATACAGTTTATATGAAAATTGAAAATTTAAAAATTTGTTTTTAGATACAGTTTAAATTACTTAATAAACGAAACATTTAAAATGTTCATTACCAATAGAGTATATGCTCGATACCAAAATCAAATTTGTTCAATTACAACACTTGCAACAAAATATTAAACTGAAGTATATATATTAGTTCAACAAAACAAATTCTTACTTGTTATTTTTTGCCAACCTCTTAGCAACATTAGTATCAAAAAATGCTAAAAACCTATCATACTTATAAGAAACATGTTGACCACCACGTTGAGTGCCTTGAACACATTCGTCATTTGAAGGAGCTGTAACTTCAATTCTGCTCGAAGATGGTAAAGGAATTTGAACAGGTTTTGGAGGTAACTGATCATTTCTTGAAGGTAATTGAATATTTGCTGAAGAACATTGAACATTGATTGGAGAAACTTGAACATTTCTTGCATG